AAAATGTAATTCTCTAGCTGGGAGTTACAAGTCCGTTAAGAAAGCCCAAATTTTCAGGCTCCCAACTGGGTAAAATTCCACTGGTCTACAAGGAAGTTTCCAACGGAAACAACATTCTTCAATGGTGCCATGAAGCAGCTGCCCCTGTGAAGAGAGACTGTGTGGCAGAGTGGTGGGAAGATGTAATTAAGGTGCAGCTGCTGTTGCTCTGCTTCTGACTATTGAACACAGTTTGTGTTATTAACACAATACTTGGAGATATAATTGCCTTCAGGTTTTGTTTACTGGGCTTCGAGCCTGCTGTTTCTCTACACTGTCTTCTTTTTAAGCATTCCTATCCGTCTCAATTTAGATTAAAATGGAAAGGGTTCATGCCTTCAGACAGTCATCTGTACAGAGTAACATGTGACGCCCTTTGTCAGCTGTTAAAATTTAATTTCATCCGATGAAGGAAACAACATGCGAATTCACAGTCTAGTGCAGGAGACAAGTGATTGGTAAATAAATGATGCCCCAATGTTCAGTTGATTAATGACTAGGGGTAAAATGAAGTCAGAGTCTCTCACATTGACACTAACAACACACTTCAGAGGGAGTAGCCATGCTCCCAAAGGAGCACTGAGGAACCCTCACTTAAGTGCTCGGAAAAATAAAAAGAGAAATTTAGAAAGGTATGTTGAGTAAAGAACTGAGGCTAAATTTTTTCCTTCCCAGAATAAAAATAACATTCATTAGTAAGTTACAAATAGACATAGTTTGAAGCCAATCTGGTCTCCATAGCGAATGCCAGGCCAGCAGGGTCACGTGAGAGACCCTTTCTCAAAAGAAAAAAAAAAGTCAATAAGGTACAAACACTAGATAAATGAAGAAGCTTTTATAGAAATGCACAGAAAAAAAGAATAGAATTGGACAATAAACATAAAGGATATCAATCTTACCAATACTCAAGATATTCAACAAATGTAAACTAAGTAATAAAATTAAAATAAAATAAATACCTTTGTTCTTTTACCAAACTGGCAAGTGTTTTGCAGAGCACTGGCTTTGCACAGAAGAGCAGCGATCAGGGTACTTTCTGTTATTACGTCTCCCACAGGGCAATTTCTTAGAGGCCGCATCTTCTGCACGTTGCTTCCGTTTCTAGGGTTGTTGTTGACTAGACAGATGTCCATGTTGTCCATCCTATTATTAAATGTCTGACAATAAAATAATATAAAATATAAAATAAAATAGTGAAACTAACAGTGGACAATAGCCCACGCTGCCTTGGAAAATGAGTTCTGTGTAATGGTATGAAATACCCACGATAAAGTGTTCAATGGGAGGGAAATGACACTGGTTATTTTCCTCAGCTGTATCTCAGTAATTATTTATATATGCATATGCATGCCCAGAACAATAGATTACAAGAAAACACAAATAACAATTCTCTCTGGATGGCAGATGGCATATTAGTGCATTTCCCACTAAATACTTCTTTTTATTATAATTTTTTATTTTATTGAAAATAAGATTTTTTATACAATGCAATATATTTTGATAACGATTTCCCTTCCCCCAGCTCTGTCCAGATCCTCCCCCACCTCCCCACCCACCCAAATATATATTTCTCTCTCTCTCTCTCTCTCTCTCTCTCTCTCTCTCTCTCTCTCTCTCTCTCTCTCATTAGAAAACAAAAGGCAATTCAAATAACCAAACAAACCTAGAATAAAACAAAACAAACAAACAGAAAAAAAGGAGCCAAAGAAGCACAAGAAATACATACAGACATAGAGACACACACGGAAATCCTATGAAACACAAAATTGGAGACTGTAATATACAAGCAAATGATCTGTACAGCTAAAAAAATGCCCAGACAAAGCCTTATGAGACAAAAAACCCTCCAAAAATAACACTGAGTTCTTTCTGAGTTGACAGTCTAGTGCTGGGCATGGGGCCTGACCTTAAGTGTGGTTTGTATACCAATGCAGTTTGAGACTGCATTGAAAAAAAAAAAACTAATTTTTCCTTTATAAATGGTTGTCAATAGGAGATGGCTTCTGGGTTAGGGATGGGGGTTTGCGTTCACTTCCCCTCTCAGCCCTGGGACCCCATCTGGCTTAGACCTGTGCAGGCCCTGTGCATGCTGCCACAGTCTCTGTGAGTTCATATATGTGTCAGCCCTGTTGTGTGTAGAAGGCTTTGTTTCCTTGGTGTCTTCCATCCCCACTGGCTCGTAATTACAATCTTTCTGCCTCCTCTGCCACCGAGGTCCCTGATCCCAGGGAGGGATTTGATGGAGACATCCCACTGAGCACCGTGTGTTCTAAGGTCTCATTCTCTGCACGTTGCTCAGATGTGGATTCTCTGTATAGGTTGGCATCTACTTCGAGAGGAAGTTTCTCAGATCATGGCTGAGCGAGGCACTGATCTATGGGTACAGAAGAACAGTTGTTAGGAGTCATTCAATGGCTATGTTCCTTTGGCAGAACAGTAGTACTTGGTTTTCCCCTAGGTCCATGGCATAGCTAGTATTAGGTTCTTAGCCACATGAGCAGTGTTGAGCATGGGTTTCTTCTCATGGAGCGGACCTCAAAACTAATCAGAGAGTGCTTGGTTACTCTTATAACTTTTATACCATTATTGCACCAGTGTATCTTGCAAGCAAGTCAGCATGGTAGATCACAGGGTTTGTAGCTGGGCTGGTGTTGACCTTTCTTCTCTGGTAGTGTGCAAAGCACCTTCCAGTTCCATGAATACTAGTCAGTAAGGGTGAAGGCTCTAGGTAGACAGCAGTTTGACTTCTCCGTGTTCAGTGTTCAGTGAGTTGTGGAGATGCTGCTTTGAACAACAGGACCTTACCATCAGCTTGTGGAGAGACACCAATAGCCTTGACCATAGCCTGGGTTATTTGTGGGTTTCTATGTGGTTCCTCTGGCCAACAACTCTATTAGATGTAATCCATTCCTAGGACTAGAGGTTTCGTTTGGTGATGAGAGATTAGTTGGGGCTTTGTCTCCCCCATTATTCAGTGATTACATTTAGATTTCTTTCATATATGTATATATTTTGAAAAGCATCTACTATAGTTTTCCCTATGATCCTTCAAATGCCCTTTAGTTTTATCTGTCCTTCCTGTATTCCCTCTCTTATGTCCCTCTCCCCTCCCCCTCCTTCAATTTAAGCCCCCCCCCACACACACACATGCATACACAGTCCATCCATAAATATATATTCTAATTCACTTTCCTAGGGAAATCATTCCCTCCCCACCTCAATCCCTTACTCTATACCTTACCTCTGTGTTTATATGGAGTGTGGCCTGCTTACTGAAGACTTAACAGCTAACATCTATGTATAAGAAAAGACTTGCCATACTTATCTTTTGTGGTCTCAGTTAACTCACTCAGAATGTTTTTTTCTTTTTACTAGTTCTATCTATTTATCTGTGAAGTTCATGATTTCATTTTTTTAAACAGGTGAGTAATATTACATTGTGTAAATGTACCACATTTTCATTATCCATTCATCCACTGATGAACATTAGGCTATTTCCAGTTTCTGGTTAATATGAATAAAGCAGCAATGGCCATGGATGACCAAATGTCTCTGTGGTGGGATGAAGCATCCTGTGGGTATATGCCCAAGAGTGATATGGCTAGATAGTGAGGTAAATCGATTCCCAGCTTCCTAAGGAGCCACCATATTGATTTTCATAGGTTGTACAAGTTTGCACTTCTACCAAGAAGAGATGAATGTTCACCTTGCTCCACATCCTCTCCAACATGAGCTGTCATTTGTTTTATTGATATTGTCCATTATGACTGGTGTAAGATGAAATCTAAAAGTAGTTTTTGTTTTATTTCCCTGATGACTAAGGATGTTGAACATTTCTTTAAGTATATCCCAGTCACTTGTGTTTCAACTTTTGAGACTCCTTTGTTTAGCTATGTACCCCATTTTTAATTGGGTTATTTGTTTTCTTATTCCAATTTTTTTTTAGTTTTTCATATATTTTATATATTAGCCCTCTATTGGGTGTGTGGTTAGTAAAAATCTTTTCCCATTTTGTAGCCTGCTGCTTTTTGTCCAAATGATGTTGTCCTTCACCATACAGAAGCTTCTTAAGTTCATGAGGTCCCATTTATTCATTATTCATCTTGGTTGTCTTGTTGGTGTTCTGTTCAGGAAGTCCTTTTCTGTGCCAATGATTCGAAACTCTCCCCCACTTTTCTTCTATCAGGGTCGTTTATCTGGTTTTATGTTTAAGTCTCTGATCCATTTGAAGTTGAGTTTGTGCATGGTGATAGGTATGAATCTGTTTGCATTCTTCTACATGGTCCAGTTGAACCAGCACCATTTGCTAAAGTTGCTGTCTTTTTTTTCCAGTATGTATTTCTGGCTTCTTTAACAAAAATCAGGTGTCCATAGGTATGTGGACTTATGTCTGGGCCTCTAGTTTGATTCCATTGATCAATCTGTCTGTTTTTATGCTAATGCCACAGTGTTTTTATTACTCTAATTCTTTAATACCATTTGAAAGCTGGATGGTGATATTTTAGCAATTCTTTTATTCTTCAGGATAGTTTTAGCTATCCTAGTTTTTTTTCCTTTTTTGTTTGTTTGTTTGTTTTTGTTTTTATTCAAGACAGGGTTTCTCTGTGTAGCTTTGTGCCTTTCCTGGAACTCACTTGGTAGCCCAGGCTGGCCTTGAACTCACAGAGATCCGCCTGGCTCTGCCTCCCGAGTACTGGGATTAAAGGTGTGCGCCAACACTGTCCAACCTAGGTTTTTTGTGTTTCCATGTGAAGCTAAAAATTGCTCTTTCAAGTTCTGTGAAAAATTGTGTTGGGATTTTGATGGAGATTGCATTGAGTCTGTAGATTACTTTTGGTAGGATGGTCATTTTTACTATATTAATCCTACTGATCCATGAGCACGTGAGATCTTTCCATTTTCTGATATCTTCTTCAATTTTTTTCTTTAATGTCTTACAGTTTTTATTCATACAAGTCTTTCACTTGCTTGGTTAGAGTTATCCCATGACTTTTTTTGAAACTATTGTGAAAGATATTGTTTCCTTAATTTCTTTCTCAGTCCATTTGCCATTTGTATATGGGAAAACTACTAATTTGAAGGTGATAATTTTGTATCCAGCTACTTTGCTGAAAGTGTTTATCAGCTGTTGAAGTTTCCTGATAGAGGTTTTAAGGTCACTTATGTATACTACAATATCATCAACTTATAAAGGTACTTTGACTTTTTTTCCAATTTGTATCCCTTTAATCTTTTTCAGTTGTTGTATTGTTCTAGCTAAGACTTCAAATACTATGATGAATGGGTATGGAAAGAGTGGACAACCTTGTCTTGTTCCTAATTTTAATGGAATTTCTTTGAGTTTCTCTCCATTTAAGTTGATATTAACTTTACAGGGCTTTCTGTAAACTGCCTTTATTATGTTGAGGTATGTCTCTTTTATCTCTAATCTATCCGGGTCTTTTATCATGAAGGAGTATTGGATTTTGTCAAAGACTTTTTCTGTATCTAATGAGATGATCATGGGTTTTTTCACTTTCAGTCTGTGTAGATGGTAAGTGACATTTATTAATTTACATATGCCGTACTGTTCCTGCACCTCTGAGATGAAGCCTACTTGTTCGTTGTGGATGATCTTTTTTATATAATCTTGTATTTGGGTTTCCACAGTTTTATTAAGTGTTTTGGCATCTATGTTCATAAGGGAGATTGTTCTGTAATTCTTTCTTTGTTGAGTCTTTGTGTGGCTTAGATACGAGGATAATTGTTTACATATCAGGGCTTATTCTTATGGTTCTATTTCATGCCATAATTTGAGGAGTGTTGGCATTAATTCTTTTTTGAAGATCAGTTAGAATTCTGCACTGAATCCACCTGGTCCTGGGTGGTTTTTTATTTTTATTTTTATTTTTTTTAGTTAGGAGACTCTTAATTATTGCTTCTATTTCACTAGGGGTAATTGTTCTATTTATACTGTCTATCTGAACTTGATTTAACTTTAGTAGGTGATACAAATCAAGAAATGTATCCACTTCTTTCAGATTTTTCAATTTAGAGAGTACAAATTTTTAAAGTATGTTTATTTATTATGTCCTCTTGCTTTCTTCTGGATCTATTATTATGCCCCCTCTTCATCTCTAATTATATTAATTTGGATATTTTCATCTTTCAGATAATTTGGCTAAAGTTTTATCCACTGGGGGTTTATTGCCACTGGGGGTTCCAAGTATAATGTGTTTCTAGGTATTAGGGACTGACATTAAGGGATGGAGATGGGCAAGATGTAGAGAGGGTCCTCAGAAAGAAGGATAGCTGGGTCCACCACCAGATTTGATGGAGTCCCTAGGGAATGGAGTCACAAAGGTTTGCTACAGGGCTAGGGATGAGGCTGAAGGATTTGCAATGGAGGACAGAAAGGAGAGTAAAGAATGCCTACCTGATTCCCATACAAGTGTAGCCAGGAGTTCTCCGGTAGAGAACGCCTCCATGTATTGGTGGCTGACACAAAAGAATGGGAATGTTCTACAATGGGAGGCTGAGCAAGTCCACAGGAAGGAGGAAAGATAGATCTATCTCAAGGTTTGGTGGAGTCCCTAGGGAATTCTTTTCCCCCTAAATTCTAATAGAAAGAAAGAATGCTTAGTGTTTCACATAAACAGCTGTGTTCACCTTTATTGATTATTTAAGAATTATCTCAATTAGCACATTGTTTAAGAGTAAGTAGTTATAAAAACAATTTTGGAGATGTTTTTAAATACTATTTTAACTTGCCAACTCCATCGATAACCTTAGAGAGTCTTTTCTCATATATTAGCCAAATGTCAACTCCCCTGGTACCTGTATGTATCACCAAAACTACAGCCAAATTGATTAGTTGTTGCATATACTATGGATCTCAGTTGAAGAAAGTCTTAGAAATGAACAGACAATTCAACTCTTAATGAATGCGTTCTTAGGTGGCTTTGAAGAGAATTTTCTGAAAGGTGTCTAGGTTCTACTTTGTAGGCATTCAAGGAAAGGTGACTCTGCTTCCCCAGATAGTTTCAAGGAGCTCTACAAAGACGGTACTGTAACAGGCACTCGGAAGCTGCTTTCGCTAAAGAGCGTTGACCACACTTGGGCTTGCGAAGTGACTAAAAGCAGGGTAAAAGCCTGGCATCTCGGCTCAGATCCCTGAGCGTGACTCTGTGTAGGCATATCAGACACTCCAACAGTGCCGATGTAGAAGCCCTCATCCCTAACCTATTGCATCCCCTTCAGGCTGAAGCCATGGACGACAACAGTAACTGCAGCATCTTACTGTCAGCCTTTTTTAATGTCCTGTTCCAGACCCCAAGTGCCTAAAGGTCTGTCGTCCTTGTTCTATACCTGTAGTCACCTTGGATTCCAAGAACAGCAGAACCTCACAGGACAGGCCACCTGTTAGAAGAAGGCAGCTATCTGTGAGGATAAGGCAGCATCCTAGAATAGGAACTATAGTCTCCTGAGAACCAACTGGTTCCCTCATCCCCTGAGAACCAAGCTGTCTTTCCAAGTTAAAGGTCTTTATATCACTCAATAGAATGAGAACTGAGACAATGACCAAGCAAACATGATTTGATGAACACTGCCCTGTTATTTCCTGTTTAAACCGGAAGCTTGGTCAACTACCAAAGAAGGACTCAGGGCTAACTATACTGTACCCTTTATTTGTTCCAGTGTGGCCATGTCAAATAAAATCTCCCCTCTGCTTTTCACCACAACTCATCTCTTTAGTTGACATATCAGGATAGGTGGTCAAATCAAAGACTGGGGTTTTGTCCTAAAACTCTGGTCACAGCCGTGCTTGGAAACTGCAGATTATATGGTAGTCCAAGAACAAATGGAGCTGTCTGGTTCTGAAAAGCTCCAGCTCTCTGCACATGTTATTTCATGAACACTTCCCCGCTGCACTAATTTAAGGAATCATTATTGAGTGTCAGTAATTATATTCATTACTAACAAAACTGAAAATACAGCTCAAGATGTAGCAACTATATTAGAAAGACAGATACTGACTCACTGGAGCCACACTCTGAAATGAGAGCTCATCTACATTTTCAAGTACAAAGGAAAACAATTTCAGGCCTTTGAAGTAATAGGTGGCACTAAGCCAGTGTCCTGTGGACTTTCCACTCTTACTATTTAACCTTGGCATTAGATGATAACCATGTTACATGTGATCCTTATTTCACCCAAGTCATTTTGGAAGTGATAAAGTTTTTAGTCTTATTCTGACATTGTTCTGCAAGATCACCCACTTGAAATTTAGAACTTGTCAACAGCTAAAACAAAGGATCGTTATTTACATCACAAAAGCAGCCTTTTATGTAGCAAGGGATTCATCACAGAGAAGATTCTTCAAAGGCCTGGTTCTTCTATTACAATTAAAATGCTTCAGTTTAGAACAATTTTATCTCCCTGAAGCTTTTCAGTTCTTAACTTGGGAGCCCCAGTACTGGGTATATCTCATTATAATGGCTGAACTTTACAGGGGGAAAAAAATGCCACTCAGCTGTGACTCAATAAATCAGGGGGGAGAAGAGAACAGTCAGCCAAAGAGAAGCATGGAGAAGAATAAACAGGAAGGGTGGAAGATAAAACCCATAGAAACTCTGAAAAATGTTCATCCTCATACATCTGGTGGAAGAGTCAAATAGAGCACATCTATGCCTTGCTTACATATACACTTACATAACCTTCTCCCAATACTTCTGAGGTCAGAGGTTCTGTCTGGTCGTCAATCTTACCTAGCCAAAAGCTTCAACTATACATGGAGTTAGCCAGGTAAAGCTCCTCCATTTTAATTGAGCTGTATTAATTCTAGAAACTACAGTAATTTCAGCTCTAGAACTAACGTAACTTGTTTTTCTAGATTCCGGCCTTCCCCATTCTCTTTGCTAACTTATTCACAGTCTAGCTACGAATACATACTATTGGCTTCCCATCAGCCATGTGACATCGAACCTCCCTCCTTCCTCTGGACTGTAGAAGAAGGGACTCCACTCTCTTCAGAGCACCCCCATGCTGCTGTCTGTCTGCTTATCTGTCTATCTATGATATTAATTCTTTTAATTAATCTCTTACTCAAATAGCAATCCACTTCCATTTTTCCCTTTGAACCCCGAATCTGAAACCTTGCTGATGGAAATAAACAACTGGTGAATTAAAGAATTAACATTTTGGCTAGGGAGATTGTTCAGTTGGTTAAAAAATGTTTACCTTATAAGCATAAGGACCTGAGTTTGATACCCAGAACCTATTTTTAAAAATCCAGGCTTGGTGGTATATACTTATAGTAGCAGCCCTGGGGAGATGGAAACAGTTAGATCCTGGAGGCTTGCTGGCCAACCAGCCAAGCATACTTGGCAAACTCCAGGTCAGTAAGAGGTTCTGCCTCAGAAAGAAAAAAACAAAAACAAAAACAAAGGTGAATGACTACTGAGGAAAGGGAGCCAATATTGACTTTGACATCCACATGCACATACACATATAGTCACACACATCTGAATATGCATGGTGTAAGCACACACAAGAATCAACATGTGACACCAAACAACTTATCTGATTAGCTTTCACCTGGTGGGTGTCTTAGTGACAATATTGCCCCTTTGAGCATCATCCTCGGCTGAGTACTTAAGTGTCAGCTCCCTTAGCCCAACACTCTTCATTCGAAAGAAAACCACACCCTAATGATGGGGCGGGGGCAGGGGTCTTACCTGCTGCTCTGCCCTTTCTCCCTGAAGACAGACAGTGTCTTGGAAATAGGGTCCATGACTCCCTTCTAAGGCTTTCATACAAGCTTCTCAGAGATGCAAAATCACTGCAAACAGCAATAGATTCCAGCTCGGCAATCTGTCCAAACTAGGCAGAAGCTGCAGTTAGTACTGAGAACCCTTAGAGATAAAAAGAGATTTATGTCCCCATCTCCAAAGGCATTGTCTCACTCCATAAGCCTAGAAGCGGGCTCCAAAAGAGAGTGTGGCTTTTAAATCTCATGCTTATGGAGCCAGATCTCCAGAATTTTTTTTAAAAAAAAATAGAAGACAAGAAAGGAGTAATTAAAATTCACAGATAATCCAAAACCCCACATTTTGGCCAGTACTTACTATCTCGCTGCCCACAAATTCTGGACCAGAGCATCCCAGCAACCCAATGACAGAGCTGCATAACTTCAATGTCAACTTATTTTTATCCTTGCAACTAGCCTGCCAACCTTCTATTTTCTGCTGCCATTCACTCAGCCACGACATCACTCTTCCAGCATAGGTACTTATTAGGCAAAGAGGCAAAATTCTCTTGTCGAGAGAAAAGAAAGGGAGAAAGGACCTACAAAACCATCCTCCAGAAAAGGAAACATGGTCTTTTAGGTTGCCATAGCACTGAGCTCTTGGGTTGATTTAGGTCCCTCCTAAGACTCCCTGTGCATGCCTCAGTGATAATAGTGCAAATTAGTTAACTAGCTAGGAAGGCTGGAATCCACTTGTGGTTGGCAGCGTCCAAAATAGATTCCCATGATTCCCACTAACACATCCCTCGTAACCAACAAGTAACAACAACAGCAGCAAGAGCAAAGTAAAAAAAGAGGCATCAAAGCCACACTCTGTGTGAGGGAGATATTGCATGTGATCATGTTCCTGTGTGTACACTGGTATATGGAGTCCAGAGGTCAACACCGAATGCCTTTCTTTATCACTCTCAACCATTTTTGAGACAGAGTCTCTCACCTCTTTTTGCAGGGCTAAGCTTGGAGATTTAGCCACTAGTCCCTCAGGCTACAACAGAGGGGGAAGGTCAGGCCAAGGGTCCAGTTCCTTTTCTAACAGTAAAAAGAGGAACACACTCACCTCATGAAACTGAGAATATCGCTGTCTAGGGACTACAGCCTAAAGTGGAAATTATCCAGTCACCTCATGAAACTGAGAATATCGCTGTCTAGGGACTACAGCCTAAAGTCGAAATTATCTGGCACTGTTAGACTCCAGATGCATTATACTGGCGCTGTTGGAACTCCTGGACAAATGTGCCCGTGAATCTTTAAGGACATGCTTCAACTTGAAATTTTGAAACAAGGACAGCTAAGTTATGTGAGTGTCATTCTTCCCTGAGGACAATGCAGCAGTAAGCAGTCTTGCTCTCATCATGTGTGGGGGTGTACATGTTTAAAAGGCGTTTCCTTAGAAACTCCCCCTTTCAAAGAGTCAAAATTATGGAAGAGTGGCTGGGGAGATGACCCAGTGGTAGGGAGCTTGTTATGCAAGCATGGGCATCTGAGTTCAGGTCCCTGGCACCTGTGCAAAAGCCAGGCACCACGGTACACCTGTGTTAGTGGGACTAAGATGGCTATCCCTGGGGCTTGCTGGCCACCTAGTCTAGCCAAAAGGGCAAGCACTGGCTTCAGTGAGAGATCTAGTTCAGAAAGGAAGGTAACGAGCAGTAGAGGAAGATTCTCAACAACTATGTCGGTCCAAAATCACGTACACACATGTATTATGAGGAAGTAAACTTCCTTCCCGTAAAGAGTCGTTCAGACACAAACCAGGGCCGAGATGGAGTCTCAGCCTCTAGAGACTGATGGTGATGGTGGGTTCAAATCCCTGCTGCACTGCTCTTTAGTCAGCTCCTCCACGTAACATGGCAGTAATGGTTACTGTTCTCACTGTAGTGTTATAAAGATTAGAAAAAGTCTCACATAAAAGCAAAGGGAATGAATCATTCGCCACACCACATGAGTAGTAGAGTCCAGGGCTCTTTAAGCACACCGGAAACACATCAGATATCACTTTTAGTACAGTCCCTTAGGAACATACTGGAAAGCCATGGCAGCAGAGTTTAAATAGGTCAAGGTTAAAAGGAACTGAGAAGCTTCTCCAGTGAAACCTGCTCCTTGGATTTACTGATCCCCTTCCTTTTAAAAAAAAAAGAAAAGAAAAGAAGCACACTGAAAGTAAAACACTTTGCTGAAAAAGTGACTGTTTATGTTCCCACTTATCTTTGTTTGTTTGTTTATTTATTTATTTATTTATTTAATTATTTATTTATTTATCTTGTTTTAATCATTCTACATACTGTAAAGTTCAGTATATACAGGGCTGATCTTACTTTTTGGCGCCACCAAGTGGCCACGCTTAACGGCACAGTGAAACTTCTTCCAGGAGGCACCCCGTTTTTCTGTTTTAACAAAGAGGATTTAGGAAACCTATAAAGTCCGTGTCTTTCTTGGGGTCCTGTTTTCCAGGTAGCCTCACTGGTGATGTGAGTAGCAGTCCAATCATCCCTGCTACACATCTAGCATCTTCCTATGAGTGAGTACATACCATATTTGTCTTTCTGAGTCTGG